GTTAATGTAGCTTATCTTTCAAAGCAAGGCACTGAAAATGCCTAGATGAGTATTTTTACTCCATAAACATAAAGGTTTGGTCCTAGCCTTTTTATTAGTTGTCAATAAAATTATACATGCAAGAGTCATCAAACCTGTGAGAATGCCCTCCAAGTCGCATCGTGACCTAGAGGAGCTGGTATCAAGCACACTACCGTAGCTCATGACACCCCGCTTAGCCACACCCCCACGGGATACAGCAGTAATTAAAATTAAGCAATAAACGAAAGTTTGACTAAGTTATATAACAACTAAGGGTTGGTAAATCTCGTGCCAGCCACCGCGGTCATACGATTAACCCTAATTAATAAACCCCGGCGTAAAGAGTGTTAAAGACAAAACTAAAATAAGATTAAAGTTTACCCAAGTCGTAAAAAACTACAGGTAAAAAATAAATCCACATACGAAAGTTATCTTAGTACACCTGAATCCACTAAAGCTAAGATCCAAACTGGGATTAGATACCCCACTATGCTTAGCCATAAACACAGACATTTAACAACAAAAATGTTCGCCAGAGAACTACTAGCAACAGCTTAAAACTCAAAGGACTTGGCGGTGCTTTAAACCCACCTAGAGGAGCCTGTTCTATAATCGATAAACCCCGATAAACCTCACCACTTCTTGCTAATTCAGCCTATATACCGCCATCTTCAGCAAACCCTAATAAGGAAAAAAAGTAAGCACAAATATACTCATAAAAACGTTAGGTCAAGGTGTAGCTAATGAAGTGGTAAGAAATGGGCTACATTTTCTTACCTTAAGAATATTAACAGTAATCTTTATGAAATCTAAAGATTTAAGGGGGATTTAGCAGTAAATTAAGAATAGAGAGCTTAATTGAATTCGGCCATGAAGCACGCACACACCGCCCGTCACCCTCCTTAAATACTCACTCAAATTTTTTTTCCTTTTAATTACAACCAATATGAGAGGAGACAAGTCGTAACAAGGTAAGCATACTGGAAAGTGTGCTTGGACAAACAAAGTGTAGCTTAAACAAAAGCATCCGGCCTACACCCGGAAGATTTCAAACACTATGACCACTTTGAACTAAATCTAGCCCGACAACCTACTATACATTTCATGTATTACTAATACTATAAAAACCTAAAATAAAACATTCACAAATTTAAAGTATAGGAGATAGAAATCTATAAAGGCGCTATAGAGATAGTACCGCAAGGGAAAGATGAAAGAAGAACAAATTAATAGTACAACACAGCATAGACTACACCTACTACCTTTTGCATAATGAGTTAACTAGTAAAATTTGGCAAAAAGAATTTTAGTCAACTACCCCGAAACCAAACGAGCTACTTCCGAACAGCTGTAAGAGCAAACTCGTCTATGTGGCAAAATAGTGAGATGATTTAGAAGTAGAGGTGAAAAGCCTATCGAGCTTGGAGATAGCTGGTTATCCAAATAAGAATTTTAGTTCAACTTTAAGTTTTCCTGAAAAATTTATAATTTTACTGAAAGCTCAAATGTTAATTTAAGGAGGGACAGCTCCTTAAGCAAGGATACATCCTTAAACAGAGAATAAACAATACATCTACCATAGTAGGCTTAAAAGCAGCCATCAATTAAGAAAGCGTTCAAGCTCAACAAAACATCAACAACTTATCCCAAAAAACAATAATCACTTCCTGTTTGACAATTGGATTAATCTATTATTAAATAGAAGAAATAATGTTAATATTAGTAACAAGAAATAATTCTCCTTGCACAAGCTTAGATAAACTCACCCAAATTAACAACCATATAATAAATACATTAACTAGATAATTATATTATATATATTGTTAACCCGACGCAGGTGTGCAAAAAGGAAAGACTAAAACAAGCAAAAGGAACTCGGCAAACACAAATCCCGCCTGTTTACCAAAAACATCACCTCTAGCATCCCAAGTATTAGAGGCACCGCCTGCCCAGTGACTTTTACAGTTCAACGGCCGCGGTATCCTGACCGTGCAAAGGTAGCATAATCACTTGTTCTTTAAATAAGGACTAGTATGAACGGCTTGACGAGGATTTAACTGTCTCTTGCTTATAGTCTGTGAAATTGACCTTCTCGTGAAGAGGCGAGAATAAAAAAATAAGACGAGAAGACCCTATGGAGCTTAAATTTATTAACCCATTATTAACTGACTAAATCTAATAGAGATAAAATATAGACCATGGGTTAACAATTTTGGTTGGGGTGACCTCGGAGTAAAACCTAACCTCCGAATGATTTTAACCTAGACCCTACAAGTCAAAGTTTCTATTCATACATTGACCCAGAATTCATCTGATCAACGGACCAAGTTACCCTAGGGATAACAGCGCAATCCTATTCAAGAGTTCATATCGACAATAGGGTTTACGACCTCGATGTTGGATCAGGACCCCCAAATGGTGCAACCGCTATTAAAGGTTCGTTTGTTCAACGATTAAAGTCCTACGTGATCTGAGTTCAGACCGGAGTAATCCAGGTCGGTTTCTATCTATTAAAAATTTCTCCCAGTACGAAAGGACAAGAGAAATAAGGCCAATAAAACAGCCACGCCTTAATAGCAAAAGAATGATATTATATTAACTCACTAGCTATTAATTAAAACTACCCAAGAGCATGGGTTTGTTAAGGTGGCAGAGCCCGGTAATTGCATAAAACTTAAAACTTTACAATCAGAGGTTCAACTCCTCTCCTTAACATTCATGTATATAATCAATTTCCTATTATTAATTGTCCCAATTCTTCTTGCTATAGCTTTCTTAACCTTAATAGAGCGAAAAATGCTAGGCTACATACAACTACGCAAAGGACCAAACATTGTAGGCCCTTATGGCATTCTACAACCAATAGCAGACGCACTAAAATTATTTATCAAAGAACCCTTACACCCCTCAACATCATCTATCCTACTATTCACCATCGCACCTTCCCTAGCCCTAACATTAGCACTATCTATATGAATCCCTATACCCATACCCCACCCCCTCATTAACATAAACCTAGGAGCCCTATTCATCCTAGCTACATCAAGCCTTGCCGTGTATTCTATTTTATGATCCGGATGAGCCTCAAACTCCAAATATGCCTTATTCGGGGCACTACGAGCCGTTGCCCAAACCATCTCATACGAAGTAACCTTAGCCATTATCCTCCTATCAATCCTAATCCTAAACGGTTCATTCACACTTTCAACTTTAATAACCACCCAAAAAAACATCTGACTGATCCTACCAACTTGACCTTTAGCCATAATATGATTCGTTTCTACCCTTGCAGAGACTAACCGAGCTCCATTTGACCTAACCGAAGGTGAATCAGAGTTGGTCTCAGGTTTTAATGTAGAATATGCCGCAGGTCCATTTGCACTATTCTTCATAGCTGAATACATAAACATTCTCATAATAAATGCTCTAACAACAATTATCTTCCTTAACTCTCTACCAACTTCCTCAAACCCAGAAATTCACTCAACAAATTTTATAATCAAAACACTAATCCTAACAGCCTTATTCTTATGAATCCGAGCCTCCTATCCACGATTCCGCTACGACCAACTAATACATCTTTTATGAAAAAACTTTCTACCATTGACTCTAGCTTTATGTATATGACATATTTCAATACCTATTTTTATATGCAGCATCCCCCCTCAATCAATATAGAAATATGTCTGAAAAAGAGTTACTTTGATAGAGTAAAGCATAGAGGTTTAAGCCCTCTTATTTCTAGAAAAATAGGATTCGAACCTAACCTGAAGAACTCAAAATTCTCCGTGCTACCACTACACTAATCTCTACTAGTAAGGTCAGCTAAATAAGCTATCGGGCCCATACCCCGAAAATGTTGGTCTAATCCCTTCCCGTACTAATAAAAATCATACTAATAACCATTATCTACACCACATTAATCATAGGAACACTAATCACCCTTATCAGCTCTCACTGACTATTAATATGAATCGGCCTAGAAATAAGCATATTAGCTATTATCCCTATCCTAATAAACAAATCTAACCCTCGGTCAACACAACCTGCAACAAAATATTCCCTCATGCAACCAACCGCATCAATAATCCTCTTACTATCCATTATCTTAACTATAATGTACTCAGGCCAATGATCTATCTTTTACTCCAACAACACAACCATTTCATTAATTTTAACCACATCATTAATCATAAAACTAGGCTTAGCCCCCTTTCACTTCTGAGTAACAGAAGTAACACAAGGAACATCCCTACTCACAGGGATAGTGTTACTCACATGACAAAAAATTGCACCCCTCTCTATTCTACTTCAAAATTTCCCAACAATCAATCAACCCTTAATCCTCGCTTCAGCTGTCCTGTCGACACTGTTAGGAGGATGAGGGGGTCTTAACCAAACACAATTACGAAAAATCTTGGCATATTCATCAATCGCCCATATAGGATGAATAATAGCAGTCCTATTCTACAACCCATCAATTTCAATCTTAAACCTAGTAATCTACATTATACTAACCATCTCAACATTCTCCATCCTCCACACTAACAACAACCTAACTACACTAGCACTATCCCACATATGAAGCACCTCTCCCCCAACCATTATTATCATCTTAATAAACCTATTATCCCTAGGAGGTTTACCACCCCTAACTGGATTTGCCCCTAAATGAATTACAATTCAAGAAATAGTAAAAAATAATAACATCACAATTTCCATTATTATAACAATAATAGCCCTACTTAGCCTATACTTCTATATACGACTAACATACTCAACAACCCTAACCCTATTCCCATCTACCAATAGCTCAAAATTTAAATGATTCTTCCACAATAACAAAAAAATAATTATACTAGCACCCCTCATCACTTTATCTACCATACTCCTCCCCATAACACCCCTACTAACAACCCTAAGCTAAGGAGATTAGGTTAACAAGACCAAGAGCCTTCAGAGCCGTAAGTAAATATATCAGTATTTATTTCTTGATAAGAGGTGCAAGACTGTAAACTCACATCATCTAAATGCAAATCAGACACTTTAATTAAGGTAAGCCCTTTGTAGATTGATGGGATCCTAACCCATGAAAATTTAGTTAACAGGTAAATACCCTAATCAACTGGCTTCAACCTACTCTCCCGCCCTGTAAAGAAAGAGGAGGGCGGGAGAAGCCCCGGCAGGTTTGAAGCTGCTCCTTTGAATTTGCAATTCAATATGATTAATCACCTCAGAGCTGTGGCAAAAAAAGGAGTATAACCTTTATCTTTAGATTTACAGTCTAATGCTTAAATTCAGCCATTTTACCTCTTACTACTTATGTTTATTAATCGGTGATTATTTTCTACAAATCACAAAGACATCGGTACTTTATATCTTCTATTCGGCGCTTGAGCCGGAATAGTAGGCACGGCTTTGAGTTTACTAATTCGAGCAGAATTAGGCCAACCTGGAGCCCTGCTAGGAGATGACCAAATCTACAATGTAGTCGTAACAGCCCATGCATTTGTTATAATCTTTTTTATAGTTATACCTATTATGATTGGAGGATTCGGAAACTGGTTGGTTCCTTTAATAATTGGAGCGCCTGATATAGCATTCCCCCGAATAAACAATATAAGCTTCTGACTTCTACCCCCATCTTTCCTCTTACTTCTCGCTTCATCAATAGTAGAAGCTGGGGCCGGAACAGGATGAACAGTATACCCACCATTAGCTGGAAACCTTGCCCATGCAGGAGCCTCCGTTGATTTAACAATTTTCTCTCTGCACCTAGCAGGGGTTTCATCAATTCTAGGAGCTATTAATTTTATTACTACTATTATTAATATAAAACCACCAGCTATGACACAATATCAAACACCCCTGTTCGTCTGATCAGTATTAATCACAGCCGTATTACTCCTACTCTCATTACCTGTTCTGGCAGCTGGGATCACAATATTACTAACAGACCGAAACTTAAATACCACTTTCTTTGATCCTGCAGGGGGAGGAGACCCTATCTTGTATCAACACTTGTTCTGATTTTTTGGGCACCCTGAAGTATACATCTTAATCTTACCTGGGTTTGGAATAATTTCACATATTGTAACATATTATTCAGGTAAAAAAGAGCCTTTTGGTTATATAGGAATAGTATGAGCTATAATGTCAATCGGATTTCTAGGATTTATTGTATGAGCCCATCATATGTTTACCGTAGGAATAGACGTCGACACACGAGCATACTTTACATCAGCTACTATAATCATTGCCATCCCTACAGGAGTAAAAGTATTTAGCTGATTAGCCACCCTGCATGGAGGAAACATTAAATGATCCCCTGCAATATTATGAGCATTAGGGTTCATTTTTTTATTCACAGTAGGGGGATTAACAGGAATCGTACTAGCCAATTCCTCACTAGACATTGTCCTACATGATACATACTATGTCGTCGCACATTTCCACTATGTATTATCCATAGGAGCCGTATTTGCTATTATAGGAGGCTTCGTCCACTGATTCCCCTTATTCACAGGATACACCTTACATTCCACATGAGCTAAAATTCACTTTTTCATTATATTCACAGGAGTAAACATTACTTTCTTCCCTCAACACTTCCTAGGTTTATCAGGAATACCACGACGATACTCTGACTACCCGGACGCCTACACATTCTGAAACACAGTTTCATCCATAGGCTCATTTATCTCTCTAATGGCTGTTATAATCATAATTTTCATAGTCTGAGAAGCATTCGCTTCTAAACGAGAAGTAATAACAACCGAACTAACTTCAATTAACCTAGAATGACTTCACGGATGTCCTCCTCCATATCATACATTTGAAGAACCAACATACATCAAAACACTATAACAAGAAAGGAAGGAATTGAACCCCCTAAGACTAGTTTCAAGCCAGCCCCATAACCTTTATGACTCTCTTCACAAGAATTAGATATTAGTAAAACTATTACATAACTTTGTCAAAGTTAAATTACTGGTTAGACTCCTGTATATCTTTATGGCTTACCCCTACCAATTAGGCTTCCAAGATGCTACTTCCCCAATTATGGAAGAATTACTTCACTTCCACGACCACACACTAATAATCGTTTTCCTAATTAGTACATTAGTGCTTTATCTCATTTCACTTATATTGACTACAAAACTAACTCATACAAGCACTATAGACGCCCAAGAAGTCGAAACTATTTGAACTATTTTACCAGCTATTATCTTAATTATAATTGCTCTACCATCACTACGAATTTTATACATAATAGATGAAGTTAACAACCCTGCATTAACAGTAAAAACTATGGGGCACCAATGATACTGAAGTTACGAGTATACTGATTATGAAGAATTAAATTTTGACTCATATATAACCCCTACAACAGACCTAAAACCAGGAGAACTTCGACTACTTGAAGTCGATAACCGAGTTGTATTACCAATAGGGATACCTGTTCGTATATTAATTTCATCAGAAGACGTACTACACTCATGAGCCGTTCCATCCTTAGGATTAAAAACAGATGCCATTCCAGGACGACTAAATCAAGCAATTTTAACATCATCCCGTCCAGGTTTATTCTACGGTCAATGTTCAGAAATCTGTGGCTCTAACCACAGTTTCATGCCTATCGTCATCGAAATAGTCCCTTTAAAAACATTTGAAAACTGATGCTCTTCAATATTATAAGACATTATGAAGCTAACCAGCATTAACCTTTTAAGTTAAAGACTGAGAATTCTTATTCTCCATAATGAAATGCCACAACTAGACACATCCACATGACTAATTACTATTCTATCAATAATTATCACATTATTTGTTATATTCCAAACTAAAACCTCAATACACTCATTCTTTACTAACCCCCAACAATCCCACTTAAAAATAATAAAACAAAAAACACCTTGAGAAAAAAAATGAACGAAAATCTATTCTCCTCTTTTATCACACCAACAATACTAGGCATGCCTATTGCAATTATCATTATCATATTCCCCGCTATACTATACCCCAACCCAAAGCGATTAATTAATAACCGAGTAGTTGCCCTTCAGCAATGATTAATTAAACTAATTCTAAAACAAATAATATTAATTCACTCTACCAAAGGACGAACTTGATCTTTAATATTAATCTCACTAATCTTATTTATTGGGACAACCAATTTATTAGGGCTATTACCACACTCCTTCACCCCTACTACTCAACTATCTATAAACTTAGGTATAGCAATCCCTCTTTGAGCAGGGGCTGTAATCCTGGGCTTCCGTCATAAAACAAAAATATCTTTAGCCCACTTCCTTCCCCAAGGCACACCTATTCTCCTTATCCCTATACTAATTGTAATCGAAACAATTAGCCTATTTATTCAACCAATAGCCTTAGCAGTCCGTCTGACTGCTAATATTACTGCTGGACATTTATTAATACATCTAATTGGAGGAGCAACCTCCGCACTACTTACAATTAGCCCTCCAGCAGCTTTAATAACATTCATTATTCTTCTCCTCTTAACCATTCTTGAATTCGCCGTTGCACTAATTCAAGCCTATGTATTTACACTACTAGTTAGCCTTTACCTACATGATAATACTTAATGACCCACCAAACACATGCATACCACATAGTTAACCCGAGCCCTTGACCTCTTACAGGGGCACTATCAGCCATTTTACTTACCTCAGGCTTAATTATATGATTCCACTTTAATTCAACAACCCTACTCTCACTAAGCATACTAACCAACCTTATAACTATATACCAATGATGACGAGATGTAGTACGAGAAGGAACATACCAAGGCCACCACACCTCTATTGTACAAAAAGGTCTTCGTTATGGGATAATCCTTTTCATTATTTCAGAGGTATTTTTCTTCTCAGGATTCTTCTGAGCATTTTATCACTCCAGCTTAGCACCTACTCCAGAATTAGGGGGATACTGACCCCCTACAGGCATTAACCCTTTAAACCCCTTAGAAGTTCCACTATTAAATACATCAGTATTACTTGCCTCTGGAGTATCAATCACTTGAGCCCACCATAGCTTAATAGAAGGAAACCGAAAACAAATAACCCAAGCCCTTGCAATTACCATTATCCTAGGGGCCTATTTCACCCTACTTCAAGTATCTGAATACTTCGAAGCATCTTTCACCATCTCTGACGGTATTTACGGCTCTACATTTTTCGTTGCAACAGGATTTCATGGATTACACGTAATCATTGGATCAACATTCCTAATGACATGCTTACTACGCCAACTCTACTTCCACTTTACCTCTAAACACCATTTCGGATTCGAAGCCGCAGCTTGATACTGACACTTCGTAGACGTTGTATGACTATTCCTTTATGTCTCTATTTATCGATGAGGCTCATGCTTTCTTATATAATTAGTACTGCTGACTTCCAATCACCAAGTTCCGTTAATATAATGGAAGAAAGCAATAAACATCGTCATATCACTCATCACCAACTATACATTAACCATAATCCTTATCACAATTGCATTCTGACTCCCTCAACTTAATATTTATACTGAAAAAGCCAACCCTTATGAATTTTGATTCAATCCTCCANAAA